AATAAATAAATAAATAAACAAACAAACAAACAAACAAACAAACTGCCTACAAAACAACAACAACACATAAGTCATCCTAAGTTACATTCTGAGCATCTACAGAGTTCAGTCCCCAGCAGAAGCTGGTCCCTTTCATGCTTCGGGCATCCAAGTTCTGCATTGCATGCTTTTTAATATATATTCCAACCTAATTAGGAACGTTTGCATAACTTAATTTCAGAACTGGAGCACGGTCTGTTTTTGCAGGCAGTTTTCCCCTCTTTGGGCTGGTTGCATCACCTCCCGTAATCTCCCTCAGGGCGGGTGGGGGGAGGCAACGGATTAAAAACCGTGTAAAAAAATGCCATTCCCCAGGGCCACCTGGCTGATTTCAGGGCAGTGTTTTATCAGCACTTTTGAGAGGTTTTGAAAGGGTGGGAGGAATAAAATAATCAACACTCCAGCCCGTGGATGCCTCATCCTGTGTAGAAAATGTGGAAACTAAAAGATGGAGAAACAGAGGAGACCTAAGGAACGAAGGGCAGAATTTTAATTATTTTTTTACTACAAATCCCATCATTCTTCATTCTTGGAGTTAAGAGCTACTGACAGGCAGGCACCTGAATGGATTTGTAGTTCAAAAAACCACAAACCAACCCCAACATTGCATCCCCATTTAGAACTTCCTAAAAATGGTTTCAAGCCTTAATTTCAAACTAGGGCAGACGGGGTGTGTGTGTTCTTCTTCTGTCCACCCAATCTGTAGAGAGCCCTGGGCAACACAGAGCGATTGAACCAGAAATGGGGAAATTCAGAGAGAAACAGGCTTCTTGCTCAGGGGCTGAAAGAGCGCCATCCAGAGGAGGAAGTTTTCTACAGCGGATCGCAGCCTACGTGTCCAAGGACATCTTCCCCCACTCCCCAAACTGAAGAGATGGGGGGAGAAAGGGGGGCGGAGACCTACCCAGAGGCTGAGGCTCGCAAATGGCTTGAACCCAGGACTTCATCAGCCGGTTGAGGATCCGCTGCTCATGGATGGGGAAGACCTGCCGGAGGATGCCTCGGGCGGCCAACTCGGGGACTGCGGAAGGAAGGAAGGAGGCGTGAATGGCAAAGCAGAAGGGGAGAGAGCCCAGAAGCGCCGTCCGATCTCATCCGGTAAGGCATGAACCTTTTTTTAAAATTGCTCTTCCTCTTGTAATAGAGTGGGTTGTGGAGACCGCAACTGCCAGTGAATGAGAAAGGGGTGGACGACATAGGGGGGGACTTGAAGCTATTCTCCTCTGTGAGTTTTTTAGTAGAAATTCAAAAACTCTGCAATTTGGGGAGCAAGGAAGGAAGCAAACAAAGGGTCCTGGCTTTGAAAAGGGACTCACGGGGCACTCAAGAGGCCTCCCCCTGCCTCCCCCTCCAACCATCTTGCTCCCCCTCCTTCCCCACTCACTGATCGGCTGCCCTTCCAAGAAGTGAATATTATGCAGCGTCTCCCCTTGTTTGGCTCGCAGGTTCTCCAGCCAATACCTGATGATGTTTTGGCGTTCCTGGAAATAAGAAAGGGGGGGGGGAGCAAAAAAACCAAACATTCATGGCATGTCTGAGCTAGGAGTGGGTTTAAGGCATTTTGATAAATTTTGCAAGCCATTGCAATCGCGCCCCCCAAAAGAAGGACCTCACAGGTGTGTCAAAAATATATCTGGTGGCTGTTGCTGTTAAATGTGTTTTTAGTACAGCAGGAGCCCCTCCCTGTTGTAAGGAAATGGAAGGAAACCGGGATCAGTACTCTCATGATCAATATCCGCTGATTCACTTATCCACGGACTGGAAATATTTAAAATATTAAAAGAAAAATCCTAGAAATATATATGGATTTCTAAAGATGAAGTTCCCAGAACTGGCCACTAGGGCCAAATAGAGACCATGCTATGTACAGTGTTGGCTATTAAAATACTGTTTGCTATTATCTGCGTTTTTAAGTATCCGTGGGGGAGGTGGAACCAATTCCTCATGGATACTGGAGGGGGAGGTTTCCTACTGTAACTTGTTTTGTTCAGATAAGTGTTCCTTATTTGCTTCTAATTTTAAAGTCTGTGTATTGTTTCAAATGTCTTACAACTTATAGGTGAATATTAATGCAATCCTTGCACCTAGGGTGAAGCTCTGACATGAATCATTAAAAAAAAAGCCCAACAACTTCACAATGAAAATATTCCGGGCATTATAGTGGGCAAGATCTGTACGAAGAGGGAGGCTGGTCCAGCTCACCTGAGAAGTGAAAAAATAAAGTTCATTTTCTATGTTCTCGTAGATGTAATCTTCCTCACAGGAAAAGCTGCGCATGCCACCCCCAAATTCCGCCTTCACTGGCTTCCGCAAGCCGATCTCATCCGCCCCCCGGAGCAAACTGTGGGGTGGGGTGGAGAAAAAAGGAAGCTGAGAAGACACCCAAATCTCCGGGACAAAACACCCAAACAGAGAAAACTGAACTTTCCAATTTTTTTTTGTTTTGTTTTTACATTCTTGCTTGCTTACTGTGTCTCTGAGTTATTGGAACTGTAAGTGCCAGTTGATGAGAAACAAATGGACTAATCTGCGGAACCAGAAGCTATCCTGTTCCATAATTCCCTCCACTTCTGCGACCTAGCTGGAGGAATTTAACCAAAAATGTAAAAAACGCTGCAAAACTCCTTTAGTTTCAATTTTTTTATTGTGTTACTTTTAGAGATACTTTTCACAGGCGTTTTTAGAGGCAGGCATTTGTCTACATCTGATGCCATTCTTTTATCAACGCTGAAATGCATTTTCGGGGGTAATAAAGCAAGAATTAATGGTCCAAATCCGAAATTAGTTACGATCAAAAGAGGCACACTGAAATCAAGTCTTGCATGGAGAAATTTGGTTATTTTTCAGTGTTATAATTGGAACACAACACCCTAAACACTAGAAACCTCTAATATACGCAGCTACTTTTCAACAATCACAATGAGTAACAAGTAATGAGTTACTTTTCAGCAATCACAATGAGTAACAAGTAATGAGTTACTTTTCAAATAATGTTAGTAGTTGGCAAAAACTACTTTTTAAAAGTAACTTCCCCAGCCTCTGTCCGTCGACACTCCCCATCTGTGGGGTTCAGCTCCTGGGCTTCTCCCGCCCCTCTCTTTCGTTTGACGGGGACTTGCCTCTCGTAATTCGCAGTGACAAACAAAGCGTAGGCCCGTGTATGCTTGTGATGCCGTATCTGGATGATGAGTTCGGGGATCCCGAGGCGGATGTGGTTGAGCAGCCACAGGAGGGTGTGGTCATCCGTCGTGTCTGGGGGGGGGAAGCGCGAGAAAATTCAGAACAGGTGAGACGTGGATTCGCATCCTCACAACGTGCAGCAATAGTCAATTAAAAGGGTCATTAAAGCGCAGATCAGAATTAAGTTAAAAGACCGAGGCTATGGGATCCTGTTCAAGGGACCACATGCACAAAGAAAGCTACAGAAGTGGCTCCTGGTTAAACCAAACTTTTACTGGCAATTTAAGAAGTCTGCCCATAAAAGCAAACACGGTAATTCCCCACTCTGAAGTCCCTCCATGGCAAGAAACGTCGCTCGCATGCAGGTCAGCTGAATGAAAAGTCTATGGCCTGCCACAAAGAGATGCCAGAGAGGAAAGCCATCCAGTGGCAGGTGGTTCCACAGGTTGGGAAGATCTGGGTCGGTGACAGCCTGGCTCACCGAGAACATGGAAGATTTGTTCAGCTCTGGTTGCTTCCGGCTTGAATGAGGGTTAATGGGGTGTCAAGTTTAAAACCGTGGTCTGATGATGGCTTTACAAACCATGGTTGGTTTAAACTGCAATACGTCTGAAGCCACAGTCCTGGCTTGCTCCAGGTTTTCTTTCCATACTTAAAGTTCTCCACAGATTCTAAGCAGAGGCTGAGACGGAACCACAAAATGTGAAATTGCATTTCTTTTTTGTCCCATGTGACAACAAAGGGCCCATTTTGTTGAGCTGAGCGGCAACACCCACGAGCAGTAGGAGGGCACAGCCGGCTTTCCGGGCAATCAAGAGCCGTTTGACCGACAGAAGCGCCCCCTCTCCTTGGGAGAGAAACCGCCCCAAAACTGGTTCGGCGACACGACGGGGTAACAACCTGACCGGCCTACCTGGAAGGGTCATGAGGACGTCGCAGTTTTCCGTGGGCACTGTCTTCATCCACGATTTGTGGGACATGATGTAACGCCCGGCCTGCAGAAGCCGCTTCCCGAAAAGCTTGTCTGTGGACAGAGCAGGCCAAGAAGGGTGAACCTGTGTCTTTTTATGAGAGACAGCCCAGAGTAGGGGTTAGAGCACCAGACGAGGACTTCAAAGACCTGGGTTCAAATCCCTGCTCTGGTCAGAAGTTGCCGCTGGCCGCTCTCTCTCTCTCTCTCTCTCTCATTTGGCGCTGGCCGCTCTCTCTCTCGGCCTGGCTACCTCACTCTTTTGTGGAGAGAATAAAGGAAGAGAAGAAGCTTCTCGCTTATGCTTTCAGGAAAAATACAGGGGGGGGCGGCGGCACAGGGAATTAAAATGAATAAATACACCAATGCAAAGCAGCCCACCCTGCTCCTGCACTCGGAAAAGACCATCCAACCCGGAAACCCCTGCGCCGCGTTTGGCTGCCTCGGCCCAAGCAAACTCAGGGGGTCGGCGCCCACGAGGTGAGGGGGTCTCCGTGGGCCCCTCCTCCTGCCATGCTCCAAAGGGCGTGGAAAGCCGGGACCCCACTTTTTTCTCCGGTCGGACCTCCTGCGTCCAACCAGTTCAGGGTTGCCGACGGACCTGCAGCCAGCGTGTCCGGGCCAGCCGTCCGTGGAGAAGCCGCTCTCTGGAGGCTCAAGCTGCCGGGCCCCCTCCTGCGCCCCAGCCTGGCCCAGTAGAGCACTGGGACTCCACCAGCAGTCCCTCCACACACAACCCGGACTAAACTGCCTGGCGCCTCCTGAGATTCCAAAATCAGACATGGAGCTAGGAGGCTGGGGTGCGTGCGTACATTTGTAGCCAGAATAAAATGCAGACCACTGACCGGATCATTGCAGTCATCAGTGCAAGAATCCCAACCCCTGTCCCATTGTCTTCTCCTGGGCTTCTCCGGTTGAATCCCTGCCTGTTTGCCTCACTGGCAAGACCCGTGCGGCAGCAAAGAGTCCTGTCCCTGCTCGGCTTTAGGGCAGGCCTTCTTCTAAATCCATCTCTCCGAATCTGCACCCCGGGGGGGGGGTTGCGCTGGAGGAGCATCATCATCCCCTGCCCCCCCCCAAACAATCCCTGGTCACCCAAACACCTACCGCCTTGGCAAAGATCCTCTGTTGAAAAGACAGGATGGAGGGGTGGGGGGGGACAGGCCAGAAATTTAAAAAGCCAGACATCTCCATGGCAACCGCCTCCGAAGAGGACGGATCTCCCGAGCCCGCAACCTCTTTTGCTCATTTTTCATCGCTCTTCCCTGTCTGTCCCCCCTCTGCCCTGCTCAAGGCAGCAGTTAATTAACGCATTGATTAAATCAGAGGCCAGGGTGCCGTACGAGGAGAGAGAAGGTGAGAGGGATGCGCCCAGCAAAACCCAGGCACGGAAACCCTCGTGGCTGGTTTGGACCCGGGTTGAGGAGGTGGCAAAATAAAACTGAAAATAAATCCCATGAGGTCTGGATTCCAGCAGAGAAAGAGAACAGGCTCTTCCCCGGGAACAAAGGACCCATCTTAAACCCCTCAGCCAAAACATCCGTCTACACGGCCTGCGTATACTGGTTGGGTACCACTTTTAGTGCACGGTGGGTCTTTGCCGTGCAGTGTTCTCAGCCAAAAAGCCCCACCAAGGTGCCCCCGCCTAACAACAACCAGGAGGACCAGTGCCTTCGGCCAACGGGGGCTCCCAGCATCCCCGAAACTCAAGCCGTGATGGTCCAAAGCGGCGTCAAACTCCCCACCACCACCACATAGCCCAGGTACAGACTTCATCCTGGGCATGCTACAGTTCTCAAGCGACATAGGTTTCCCACTCCCTCTGCAAAGCATCATGGGAACTGTAGTTTACCAAGGCTGTGAGAACAGCTCGTTAATTACTGCCACCATCTTATTTATTTCATAAACCTATTTGGTTTCATGCTAACAAGACGCTTCCTCTGTCTTAGGACGACCCCATCAATGCATGCTCTAAAAATGTCCACCCTGTGAAATGAGCCAGCTCCAAAATGCTCCTGTTCCTTAACCGCCCTAAGTCAAAAGTCGTGACATCCTTGAGGGAGTCAATCTATCTACTATTCGGTCTTCCTCTTTTCCTGCTCCCTTTTAACCTTTCCCAGCAGTGCCTTTACCAGCTAATCTTGTCTTTACATGAAGTAGCATTTCCTCAGTTTCCTCATTTTTGCCTCCAGAGACAGTTCAGGCTTGATTTCATCTAGGACCCCCCCCCACCCCCGGTTCAGCTTTTTGGCCATCCAGGGAGCTGAAACCCACTAGCAAAAACCCTGAATCACTCCCATTTCTCCACCACGAACACTGAAGTTGTTCTATGCTGCTGCAATTATTACTGTATTTGGCCTTCAATGGATTCCAAATTAATCCCCTATTTGCATTTTCCCTGTTTTAAGTCCTCATTCCTTTCCTGCCAGTTAAGATGGTTTCATCTGCATATCTTAAATTATAGATGCTTCTTCCTCCGGTTTCCGCTCCTCCTTCGTCTGAATCTAGTCCGGCTTTCCTAATAATATATTCTGCATATAAATTGAACAGACCCCGGGGGAGGGGGAGAAATCACCCACTCTTGTCTGGCAGCTTCATTTTACTGAAACCCATCCTGCTTCCCACTACGGTGGGGTAACGGCCACCTTTGGGATCCAGACTGATTCTCTCCCCCCCTTTATCTCATATCTGGTTTTATTTATTGATTTATTCTTATTTGTTCCAACTTCCGGCCCGCAACTGCTTTGGGCGGTTCACAGCACAAATCGACACCAACAAACTTGGATAAAAAGAGCTTGGTTATAAAATTAAAATAAAACCATTTGGGGCAATATAAAATACCTACACTCTAAAATGCCAAATATGAAATACATGCTATTGGTTTTCGCAATCCTTATTTTCTTTCCAGAGTTATTAAGTTGGTCATGCAGAGAGTCAGTAATCGATGGACATCTTAATCTCCCAAGGCTCTCTTTAGCTCTAACCATTACACACCACTGCTTCTGCCTTTTTTTTAAAAGAAAATTATTTAGCTTTTTCTGGCTATGTTGATCCCCTGCCACTTTCTATGACTGCTATCATTTTTTCCTTCCAAGCCACACAAAGTATCCGGGGTTTTTTTAAAAGTGGGCCATGCCACCTGAAAAATAAAACAAATAGTAGATGTAATCCTGATTTGATGAGTCGTGGAGTTCTGCAGGAGAACGAAACGGGTGTGAAAGCAAAGTGTGCTCCCACAGTGTAAACACACCCTTTCACAGCCCCAGTAACCCATAATTCTGGGGGTGAGACCCCCCTTGTGTATGGAAGACACGGGCACAACAAGCAGTAAATGCTCAGGGGCAGTCTGGCTTAGTGGCGATCGCAACAGAGGTCTGGCAAGACAGGCACAAGGCTTTACGTTTCCTTATTTTTTGGTTAACCTACCTTCCCAAGTGGTTGCAGAAGAACAACATCTTGAGTTCTCAGGAGAAAGTGATGGATATAAATGACATTAAATTAACCAAACAGGTTTGGGCACACCTCCGGCCTCAGGTGAGGAGCTGCATCCAGGGCTCGGAAGACAAACGTGGCACTGAGGACTAGCAGCTTACGTCACCCAAAGCAAAGCAAACCAGCCTGACAGGGACAGGACGGAGCCGGAAAGGGGTGTGAGTGAGTGGCCGCTGGCCTAAAGCCAATGGTTGATAGAGAGCAACAGCCCGGAACAGCTGATCCAGAGAGCAAACAAAACTCTGTGCATGCACAACACACACACCCAATAACTGTACAGACCACTGAGCTAACCAGAAGTTTCTAATGACACACAGACAGATACATGGCCACGCTTATCTGGACGCCAGCTGGCGTGGCGGGACCGGAAAATCCTACAGGTTTGGTTTAGGGGTTCCACCAAGTGGCAGAAATCCTTTCCAGAATTGACCATATTAAAAAATCCCAAGGGTTCAGGGACACAGAAATCAGCTCAGCCAAGAAATGATGTTCTCTCTCTTTGAAGGCTGCCTGGTTCTGGATCTCTGATTTGACCTTTTTGGGGTTTTTTTTACTTGGTATAAGTGGGTTGTTTTTCAGCTGCCTTGAGTACTGTTCTGAAGGCCCAAAACTTAAATACAGTTCTGAGGAAAAACCAGCGCAAAAGAAATAGGAGAGGTTCTCAGAGGATCCCGGCTGGAAAGGTCACAGAGACCATAAGAAACCTGAAACCAGACAAGATCCGAGGCCCATTTTAAATCTGGGATCCTTTTCCCAACGGGCCAGATGGGAGGCGAGGAAGGAAGGAAGGGGGACCAGGTGCAAATGCCGAAAGTTTTCCCTCTGCAGGTGGAATGACCCCAAGGAGGATGGGCTTCAGGCTTGCACCATGTAGCAGAGAGTTCCGCAGGCCCGGAGTGCCCACAGAAAAGGCGCTCTGGCTCATACCCTCCAAAATGATCTGGGAGAAAGGAAGGGGACACTGCTGGCGCCCATCGCCTGCTTTTTTTTAAAAACCCTCCCCACTTCTAGACTTCCTGCAAAGCAGCCGGCGGATTCCCCAGCCAGGAGCAGGGTGCCGAGTTCAGGAGGAAGACCCCCTTCTGACCCTCCGGGTGTTGTGGCTGCACTACAAAGCCTATCAGCCCCAGCTAGCCAGGCTGACAATGGGAGACATAGTCTCCCGTTCTCCAGTTGGTCGCAGGTCCCTTTATCCACCCGGATCTGGTTCTGCACCTTAAGACAGCAAAATTAAAGGAAAAAAACAAATTAAGGAGGAAACATCTTTGGCACCAGGAAAGACTTCTCGATTGGTTTCCGTGTGAATTGGGGGGGGGGATTAAAATCCACTTCCTCAGACGTGTGGGGCACTCCCGTCGTGCCCAGGTTTAGATACACCTCCGAGGTGACAGGAATGCCGACCATAAACAACGCATCGGTGACCCAGGAGCAGGAAAAGCAAAATAAGTGACTTAAAATTGCAGGTTGTCGCTGGGGTGGATTAGCCATTTTGCCAAGTAGATTAAGCTGCCACGGAAACGCTAAAGGTTGTTCCCTCAGTCATCGGAGAACCTCCCTGTCCTGAGGCAGTCTATCTTGCCACACCAAACCCCCTAGGCAAAAAAACAGGAGACGTTTTGGCTATCATGTCCATTCGAGGGTGATGCCCGGTGACCCCCTTTTCAGATTGCTTCCTCTCCACCCTCTCCTGCCTTCTGTAAATCCAAATTGCTTCCAGAATATACAAGCTTTCGTTTCAAAGATTTCCATCAACCTGTGCCAGGAAATTCTGGGAAAGAAGGAAATGGTGGAAAGGCTAAAAACTCGTATCCTACCAATGAAGATGGGTGTACCGGGGGGGGGGTTGTGGATAAAGAAGCCCTCTCTCTTTGAGGCTGGAGCGGCCCCCACTCAGAAGGATTAAAGACCGCTTCTCTCAGAGGGAACAAACCCAGCTTTGTGGTGCCCAAACCCGTCTTGGCACAGCTGTTGTGCTAGGGTGGCATCGCTCTGCAGAGGAATACGCCTCCGTGCATGTCGGTTAGCCGGCCGGTGGCTTAGCTGCCCACCCGAGCTGGCTCGTTAAGACAGAGCAAAAAGCAGGCAGCAGAAATGCCTCGTTGACTCCGTTTCAACTATTTGCCCAAATATCTCTTAAGCACCCATTTTGGACTGGGTCCACCCAAATCAGATTACATTTGAGAACGAGGCCTCCTTCTCGCTACCAGCTCAGCCCTTACAAAAGCAGGTCTCTGCTCTCCAAAACGACCAGTAGAAACCGGACAAGAGTCTTAAAACCAGAGCCTTCCTGGAAAGGGACAGAGGAAAAGCTCCACTGAATAAAACTGGACTCTCCCCTACTGTGTTAATTAAAACTTCTCTGCAAGCCTGGGGGAGGTGTGTGTGTCTGTGCTGGCTGGGCAGTTTGGATCTTGCGAAGCTTTGCCTGGCAAGCGAAATCTTGCAAAGCTCATCTCCATCCTCCGAACGGCTGGATGAAACTGCTGAGCTAAGCGGGAGACCAAGAAATAAGCACCGAGCCAACTTTTGGGGGATTGAAAGCAATCAAGCTAAAAGCTGGCGCGGCTGGCGCTTAAGGCCTTCACCTTGAGGATGCCGCAGCCGAATCTAAGAGGCCCAAGGCAGAATATTCCGTTTTCAGCAGTGCAAAACCCCCCAACATTGCAGAACCCTCAACCGTGATCGTTCAAGTGCTCTGTGGCAACATTCAGGTGCGCCCAGGTTAGGCACGCACAGGAAATGGCGAGGGAGCTTCGAGGACGTGTTTGGCATTTCATGGCTGGAGCCGTGCTGGACGAAGGGCAAACATGTAGGGCCTGAAAGTACCCCACAGGGGCGAGAGATGGAGGCTAGAGACAGGGCATAGAACCGGGGGGGGGAGGGCGACCCAGGCTACAATCGTGCAGAACCAACTCCGAGCACCGTCGCTCAGAAACCACCTCTCGTGCGAGCCATCCACCCCCCCTCGTGCATCGCAAGCTGCAAGGTGCACCTGGGATTCGTGCCAACCCGTGGAAAAACGAAGGGAGGGTCCTACAAGTCCAGCTGGCTTCCTTGCCCCCCCCCCACCTCTGTGTCCCAGATCGATGCCCCACGCCACCCTCTGGCTTCTTTGCAGCCACGGTGTCCCTCCCTGCTACTACCACGGCCACAGCCACCCTGCTTACCGCCACAGCCACAGCGGCCGCCTCCCCGCTCACCTTGGAGTTGCCGAGCTAAGGTC